TTCATACCCCTCGCGCACTCACGTGTAAGACCCTTCGCCATTCCTGTTCTTCTGCCTCTTTCCAGGTAACTTACAAAACGTCATTCCCAGCACTATTTTTGGATAAGTAAATCAATACAAGCAAACCTCACTCTATAAAGACAGACTTTGATCAGGAAAAGGCCCTTATATATTATGAAATGAATTTAAATCAGATATAATCAATATCATGCTATCCATTCTTTTTTTTTTAACATCTTTATTGGTGTATAATTGCTTTACAATGGTGTGTTAGTTTCTGCTTTATAACAGAGTGAATCAGTTATACATATACATATGTTCCCATACCATTCTTAATTCTTTTGAGAAAAGAGGAACATTTTGGTGGATGGGGGACACAATTAGATAATAGTTATCTACATTGAAAATGTACATAACTTTTGATGCAGCAAGTTAGCATTTAGGAATTTATCATATGGATTCACCCTATGGCTTCAGTCACATCAGAACACAAGGATGCAAGTATGTGGCTGTTAATCATAGTACTGTTTGACATGGTAAACATACACGGAGACCAGAGGGACTGATGGCCAAATTACGGTACGTTCCTGAGATGATATACTAGGTATCTGTTAAAAAGAATGAGGTAGGGCTTCCCTGGTGGCGCAGTGGTTGAGAGTCCGCCTGCAGATGGAGGGGACATGGGTTCGTGCCCCGGTCTGGGAAGATCTCACGTGCCGCGGAGCGGCTGGGCCCGTGAGCCACGGCCGCTGAGCCTGCGCATCCGAAGCCTGTGCTCCGTGGCGGGAGGGGCCACAGGAGTGAGAGGCCCGTGTACCGCAGGAAAAAAAAAAAAAAAGAATGAGGTAGACGTGCAGGAGTTGATCTGCACAGATGTCCACACTTTGTCGTAAAGTGAAAAAAGCAAGTTATGGAACATGAGACAGAGAGCGACCCTAGTTTTTTCCTTCTCTCTCCCACTAAGGAGAATTCTTGGCTTCTCCATCCCTTTTCTCCTTGTCACCTTTCCTTCTGCACCCACCACGCCAGTGGGCATATTTAATAGATCAGGACTGGGACCGAGTCTCTCCCCAAGAAAGACAAGAAGAAGACAGAAAGTGAGAGAAGGAGGGAAAAGTGGGGCTTTGGAATATATTCAGACGAGTCCCTCACACATGGAAAAGTTCAGAAGGAAATTTACCATGGCTATCTTTAGGGAGTGGGAGGATGTGAAAGATAAGGATGATTTTTACCTTTCCGTTGTTTTGAAAATGTCCTTTCCTAGGAGTATGTATTATTCTTAAACAAAAATTAACAGAACGTGTGAATATACTGAAATGGACTTGAGGTCACGAGGAAGGGGAAGGGTAAGCTGGGACAAAGTGAGAGAGGGCCATGGACATATATACACTACCAAACGTAAAATAGATAGCTAGTGGGAAGCAGCCGCATAGCACAGGGAGATCAGCTCGGTGCTTTGTGACCACCTAGAGAGGTGGGATAGGGAGGGTGGGAGGGAGGGAGATGCAAGAGGGAGGGGATACGGGGATACATGTATACGTATAGCTGATTCACTTTGTTGTACAGCAGAAACGAACACAACATTGTAAAGGAATTATACTCCAATGAAGATGTTAAAAAAAAATTAACAGAACGTGTGAATATATTGAAAGTCCTCCTCGAAGCCTTAAGAAGCCTCTGTACCCCCGTATCAGCCTCTGGTTCCTAAAGAAAATCAACTTTAATTTGTATTCAACATAATTTAAATCTTAGTTTTTAAAACTATGTTCAGTTTTGTTTTTGTTTTTCTTTCTCCTTTTTAAAAAAAAATTTACGGCCTACATTGACGATGCTGAGCAGACTTTCACGGGCTAGTCCAGGGGACCGCGGCATGATCTGTAACACCTTCCTCCATAAGAAAATGCTTCCCAAGTTCTAAACTACCAACTGGCAAACTAACTTTTGAAACCCAATTCGTCTTACAGCTGAGATTTGACTGAATTGTATTTTTAAGTAAAATTTGGGAAATACCTTTAAATTACTTAATGTTGGTCATGCTAACAGACAGATGACTGCATATATAATCACAGATACACACATAGATACTCTCAGGAGCAGAACTATGAGTTAATACTAAAGATTGCACATTTTGTTGTAAGTGAATTAATTCCAAATTGCTTTATGAACCAAAAAGAACTTAAGATTTTATGTTGCACCGTAAAAGGAACTTCTATTGAGTAAAAATAAATGATGGAGTGACAAGAAGGGAGCTGAGGGCAACGCGGTGATTGGGATAAAAATGGAATAATGGATGCCTTCTCCTCTAAGGTCAGCAGTTAAGATTTAGCCAAGGTCAGCAGTGACAAAATCATCACTAGAGTCTTGACCTCAATCTAGTTCCTGAAAACAGTATATTAACATTGTAAAACTGTTACGGCAGATGGCAATCCAGTCACCTCTCAGTAACGCATGCCTAACTACCCGTGTCCTTGGCTACAGGTGGACAAAAAGCCCACCCGGAGCATTTGCCGGGAGACCGTGTAGACAGGGGAGGCCCACAGCGTGAGTTCCCTCGTGCACACCTGCGGGGTGAAAGCCACTGCCCACCTCGGGATTCCTACCTCACACTCTAAGATTGTTAAAGGGCTTGCAGGGCATCTGGCCCGTTAGTTCTTTATTTTCACTTTTGCCTGAGCTAAAGGGAAAAAGGACTAAGTCTGTCGGCATCCATCCCTCTCATTTCTCTTAACTCTGTTGGTCTGGATTACTGATAGCCCTTTCCTCTGCTACAACTTTGAAAGCAAATAGTTCACATCTCACTCGTTTGAAGTGGATCATTGCAGATTCGACTTCTTGAAATACAGAACACCACAGAGCAACTCCTTAATAAGCTCCAGGGAGGAGAAACGGAGGGAAGCTTGGAAATGTGTCACCCAGCGTTAAGAACAGAGGGTACATTTACAGAGAGATCGTGACCTGCCCAACACCAGGGAAACATAACCAAAAGTATTCCAAACAACATGGAGTACATTCCGTGGACTTGGCCCCGCTTACAAGAAAGGCCTCTTTGTTTGATTCAAGTTTAAGTCAGTGAAACTGCCAGTTAATTGAGGGGGTAAGAAAGTCCTTCAGGGAAGCCTTGGGAGCTATGGAGAAAAGAGGATTCAGAAGTACACGGAGAACGAGCCCCCTCAAAGGCATGCGGCTTTCTTAATGAAGCCCGGGGACCAACATATATTCCTGTGCCTGGGCGGCGGGCTCAGTGCACTTCCAGCCCCAGACGGCAGCGGGGCGAGCCGCCGCTGAGGGGGTCTGGAGGAAAGAGGATTTTCCATCTTTGTCTCCTGGCTGGATTCCATCTGCTCACCGGGCAGCCTGTGGTTTGGCGTCGTGAGCCCGAGCCCTGAGTTCAGAGGGGTAATGCCAACCGTCCCCAACCTGCCTCTCACTGCAACACAGAGAACGAACGAAGCCTTATCTCTCTGTATTCAATTCATATTTTCTGAGAACCCACAAGATTCATCATACCTAACAGACATTTCACGCTCATGGGAAAGTCTACAGTCCCAGCCCGCAAGGCAATCTCTTACAAATTTGATTAAAGCTGACTCACAGTCTGGATTCCGAGGCTGCTCAACCACAAGGCACTGGGAGAAACCACCTAGAGAAGTTCTGAAAAACACCCTCAGGGTCACCCTGGTGCCGTGGCTGCCTATGGGCTTCTGCCATGCACCTGGCTGGTGGGTCTATGCCATCTTTAGGCCCTTCTCTGTCTGCACCGTGCTCCTGGCTTCCTGACCGAATGTGTCATTTCCGGCTTCCTCCCTTTGCCCGGACTGATATCCCAGACCCTGGACTTGCTTCTGTTCTTATGGTGTTGATCTTGGTAACTTCCCAGCTCCGGTGTCTTCTGAGGCTCTTCCTCAAGTGGGGACAGGCGGCGCCCTGGGCCCTGCCTCCCTCCCCTCCTTCCCGGAGGACCACTCCCCTGCCTGTTGCCCATGTTGCATAGGTCTAGACCTGGATCTTCACTCTGCTCAGCCCCTTAGGGCTGACATCATGTCTGCACGGTCTTCAGATCTGGGAAACTCAGTATCTGCCTGGAATGGTGCCCCTCCTCCGCAGGGGCCTCCCCCAGCCTCCCCAGGTCCCAGATGCTTTCAGGGCACCTTCCCCACAGTGAGTGACCTTGTTCTGTGCTGGAGGCGGCTATTCCAACCTCAGATGATGGTATATGCGTCTCTGTGCCCTTTCTTCTGGACGGATCTATCTCATCTTCCAAACTTATGTTCTTAGCCCACTGCAAACCAGGGTCCCACACCCACCAGCACCAAATTCTCAGCACTAGACTTCAACACTGGCCTCACTCCGGAAGCTCCCCTGAGTAACCAGAACCCCTAGGGGCAAAACACGCACGGGTCTGGAGGAGCTGAGGCCGGTCAAGAAACAATTCATTACCAGTAGTTCCTTCCTCTGACTCAATGACATGTTTGAGCAGGGCTGTCTCCCTGCTCTCCTGCTGGGGTCATAAGGTGATTATGAGGTCAGAGGGTTCGAGTGAAGGCACCCTGGGAACCATAAAGCCCTGAGAAATGGAAGCAAGCAGCACTGCTGTCAGCCAGGTGGAGGGTCCCACACTGGCGTCCTCACCTAGACCAGCAGGGCTGAGGCCACAGGCCGCAGCCCCCAGGCTACGTCTGTGCCGAGCCCCTCTCTGCTCCCCCAAACTCTGTCCTTGCCTCTGCCATCGCGAGCATTGCACCTTATTACAAGCACTAGCTCCACGTGCAGACAGCATCTCATCAGTCCCTGCACACCCACAGTGCCTGACACATGGAAAGAACTTTACAAATGAGGAATGACCGCATAAATGAACAAAGGTGTGGTTTTACACACTGACCGAGAAGCAGATGGAACACTTTTACAAAGCAGCAGTGATCAGGATGATGTCAGGCTCTCTCGAGCCTCTGCCCCAAGCAAAGACACTGTAGCCCTTACTTTAGCCCCTCCCCGGGACTCACCTGTACGGCTCCATGGTCCGAATGCCGTAGAACAATGCCTCCTCCAGCAGCCCGAGGTTGATGCAGGCGTCCATGGCACAGTCGAGCACCTTCAGCTGGTAGATGTTGATATCAGGAAGCCGCTCTGCGTTGCTGCTTAGGATCGTCTGGCACATGGCCAGAACCTGTTCCCACTCTGTTATTAACGTTAGTTAAGGATTCACTGTCTTCATCAAGAAAAAACAGAAGTAAAATGAGATTCTCGAAAAGGCTGAAGAGCTCCCAGGCACAGGAGGGAAGGAAGCGCCCATTATTTTGCACAGATGAGCTGCCTGAAAACACACTTGAGAAACAAAAATGTGTGAGTGGCGTCTCAGAGAAGGAAATTCTGTTTACATCAACAAACCATCTTCCAACCAAGCCTGTGCTTTGCGGGATTAGATTTCCAGAGAACCATTCTTCCTTCCTATTCCTACATGTATTCTCTTTAAACCTAGCCATGAAATAAATGCAGCTGTTTATTAAATGAGCTAAAGACCAAGTTAGTTCAGTTTAAAATTGTTTACTCTGTTAGTTTCTGTTTCAAAAATGATCTGAAATGAAAGCAGCTTTAGAGAGACTCCTTTTAAAAAAGAAGGAGCTCATTTTTGCTTCTGTGTCATTTGAACCTTGGGCATATAAGAAACCAAAAACACAACCCCAGGCACACACTAGGGGAAACAACTTAAAGAAATCCATTTCCACTGGATCTCAAATGTAAGGTTTTTGATTATAAAACAAAAGTGATTCCAGTCTATGCTTAACCAAATAAAGGTATTCTTATTTTAAACCCCCAAAGTAAAAGATAAATATTAAGAACATGTGGCTTATGTACATAAATTGCAGGCAGGGGGAAAGGATGCTTTAAAAAGGGTGGGGAGAAGACCCAATATTCACTTCGGAGCCACAACGACTTTCCGATTAACCGTGAGTCCACATAACTTACTCTCATGGAGCCCAGTGCGACCTCACTTTTTAAAACTGACAAGGCAGTCAGAGCTCTGAGGACGTGGTGCATGCAGCACGCCTCGAGTCCTTCAGGTGAACTCCCTCAGAAGCACAGCTGCAAGTGGAGAGACGGCAGGCCCCAGGGACCTGACACACTTTCTTCCCTTTGATGCTGTGTTAGGCAAGGCCGAGGCCTAGGAGGACGCTGGGCTGGGGCTGCCCGGCCCCGGCTTCTCCCTCACCTTCAACCTGTGTAGCTCCGAATTCATCTGCTTCCATAAGCTGGAATTCCACAGGGCACAAGGTTTGCAGATTTACAGAAATGGCACAGTGTTGGACCGCAGAAAAGGCTGGATTTAAATCTAAGCTAGTTCTGTCACTGGTCAGATTTGGGGTTCTGAGGACATCACCCGTGCTTTGAAGTAGGCCAGAAATAAAAATGCCTAATGTCGCTGTAAGAATTAAATAAGATACCGTATGTAAAGTTTTTAAAAACGCTTCACGTGTTCTCTCCTGAGCCAGGCAGAATTGTGTACCTGGGACACAGCGGGAGAACATTTAGTGTCTTGCACAAGATCATACTGCACAAGTATCAGTGCCTTCCACCTCCTTTTACTGTGTCATGACCTCCGAGCGTGACCAGCTTAAGGAAGATGGTTCAGTGGAGTAAGGTTGATGGCATTTCCCCGCCATACACCCACACCCTGCCCGACTCTCACACAGCCCAGGGCTCTCCGCCCCGCCTCCAACTCAAAGCCTCTTCCTCAGTTCCTAACACAGCATCCCCCGTCCTGGACAGATGGCCCACCTGTCCTTTGCCCTCCCTCCGGCAAAATCTACCTTTTCCACAGTTCAGACTCTCAGGGCACTGCTTTCCAGCACATCAGTGAACACTTTTGATAAACCAATCAAACCACTTGCGTGAGTGGGAGCTCCTATTTTAAGTAACCCTCGCAGGGAATATATTTTTCTTTCAGCGGGGGCCTCTGGTGGCATGATACCTCACCCCACAGGCCCCGACTTCCTGGTTAGAACTACAGGCCCCCTAACACATGGCTGAGGGCCTTTCTGTACATAACACTCTGTAATTTTAGGACGAGTCCTGTCTCTGAGGAGTTGCCTCTGGTCTCGGAAGAGGCACATTTATTGAAGAAAAGTGACTTGATGACTTTCTGTGGTATTCACCTGACGTGCATGTTTAAAGTTTGCGGCATGTGGCCCCCAGAGGCTGGGGGAAGCAGAATCTTAGGCAACGCACTGGTTTCGTAACAGACTGCCAGGCTAGCCTCTGTGGCTTTTCATCCTAGGATTAGATATTTGATGGATTGTCAGGAGGAACGCCTGTCTCTTACACAATGCCAGACATTTCTGTGGCAAGACTCTGACTCTATTTTAACATCATGTTGCATGACCTCCATAATTATTTGCCTGTTCATTTACATATGCTCCAACTCATTTTAAAGAGGTTTGAGGTGACAAGCCTTAGAAGTAAAAACCAGATGCAGCCGCTGACAGGAATACATCTACTTTCTCCCCCAGCAAGCTGGGAGGGACCACATGACAACTTCCCTTCGAAACACTGGCTACAGTCACCTGGCAAACAAGGCAAACCTTTCCTGTAAAACACATCAGTGAGCAAAAAAATGGAATAATTTTAACTAAGAGGCTTTTCTCCTAAGCTAATGCTGACCTGTATTTGCATTTTCTGGGTGTTAGTCACTCTGCTCCAGTGAGGGGAGCAGGGAAGACAGCCCACCCAAAGAGAACAGACTATGGATGACAGAACAGGCACCTTTCTGCAGACTTTTCCATGACCATAAGACGATTGGGGGAAAAGAGAAAGGGGAGCACAGTGAATCCACTTGGGAGTTAATCAACTCCTTGAGACTCCAAGGCTGAGAGACCACGGGATCTTACAATCCTCCAGGGTTTACAGTCCTCCCGAGGTCCCCTCACTATTTACGCCAAGAAAATGTATTGTGAAGCAACTCCTATTGCCATTGCAGTCATGGTTGACTACAGTCATTAAATTATAAGGATTCCAAGTTATACTTTTTAGAGATGTAGGTTACGGGAGGAAGGGAATCCAGAAATTTGCTACCTTGTACATATAAAGAGAGTACTACTTACTGTCCCATTAATCCTGCCTATAAATTTGGATTATCATCTAATGGTGGAGAGGAATTCATGCTGACCTTACCATATCTTCCTTAGCCACTACTGAAATTGTTGGCTGGGGTCAGGGATGCAACCTGTGGCCACGGAATAGAATGAAGCTCTTTGGCTTGTGGAGAGGTCAAACCCGGGACATGGATTCATTAATACTAGGCTCCAACCAGTAAAGAAGCACTCCTACAAAACAACTCAATGCACAGGTAAAAAAGGATACTCCAATGTGCCTTCAGTTCTTCGATTTTTTTCAGGGATTCTTGAACTTCCTTCCACACTTGTTCATCACCAGTTAGCATATCAGCATCCTGCTCAGGCCAAATGAAAAGAACAGAGGAAGACAAATTCCTCAATTAAAAAATGGGCAAAGGATCTGAAGAGATATTTCTCCAGAGAAGATATACAGATGGCCAATAAACACATGAAAAGATGCTCAATGTTACTGGCCATCGGGGAAATGCAAATCAAAACCACAAGGAGATATCATTTCATAACTAGGATGGTTATAATCAAAAAGATAATAACAAATGTTGGGAAGGTTGTGGAAAAATTGGAACCCTCATGCATTACTGGTAGGAATGTAAAATGGTGCAGCCACTTTGGAAAGCAGTTTGGCAGTTATTCTAAAGGTTAAACAGAGTTACTATACAACAATTCCACTCCATAGATGTATATGCAATAAAAATGAGGATATATGTTCACATAAAAACTTGTGCATAAATGTTCCCAGCAGCATTATTCATAATAGCAAATAAAGTAGAAACAACCCAAATGTCCATCAACCAGTGAATGGATAAACAAAATGTGGTATAGCCACACAATGGAATATTAGTTGACAATAAAAAGAAATGAAGTACCGGCTTCCCTGATGGTGCAGTGGTTAAGAATCCACCTGCCAATGCAGGGGACACGGGTTCAAGCCCTGGTCCGGAAAACTTCCCACATGCCGCGGAGCAACGAAGCCCGTGCACCACAACTACTGAGCCTGCGCTCTAGAGCCTGCGAGCCACAACCAGGGAAGCCCACATGCCTAGAGCCCACGCTATGCAACAAGAGAAGCCAACGCGATGAGAAGCCCACGCACCTCAATGAAGAGTAGCCCCCGCTCGCTGCAACTAGAGAAAGCACGCACACAGCAAGGAAGACCCAACACAGCCAAAAATAAATAAATTAAATAAATTAAAAAAAATAAGAAATGAAGTACTAATACATGCTACAACATGGATGAACCTTAAAAAACATCATGCGGGCTTCCCTGGTGGCGCAGTGGTTGGGAGTCCGCCTGCCGATGCAGGGGACATGGGTTCGTGCCCTGGTCTGGGAAGATCCCACATGCCACGGAGTGGCTGGGCCCGTGAGCCATGGCTGCTGAGCCTGCGCGTCCGGAGCCCGTGCTCCGCAATGGGAGAGGCCACAACAGTGAGAGGCACGCGTATCACAAAAAAAAAAAAAAAAAAAAAAATCATGCTTAGTGAAAGAAGCCAGTCACAAAGGACCATATATTGTATGATTCCACCCATATGAAATGCTCAGAATAGATAAATCCATAGAGACAGGAAAGTAGATTAGTAAATGGCTAGGGCAGGGGGTGGTGGGTAGGGAGAACGGGGGAGTGACTACTAATGAGTTTTTTGGGGGTGATGAAAATATTCTAAAATCAATCATGTTGATGGTTCCATAACTCTTTGAATACATGAAAAGCTATTGAATTGTACATTTTAACTAACTGAATTGTACCATATGAGAATTATATCTCAATAAAGCTTACATATATGTATGTATGTATTTATCAGGAAGGGGAACAGAGGCAAGAGAAAGAATCATTTGTCAGGAGACCCATGGATAACACTTTAAAAAAAAAAATTTATTTATTTATTTATTTTTGGCTGCATCAGGTCTTTGTTGCTGCACGCGGGCTTTCTCTAGTTGTGGCCAGTGGGGGCTACTCTTCGTTGCGGGGCGTGGGCTTCTCATTGCGGTGGCTTCTCCCGTTGCGGAGCACAGGCTCTAGGTGCACGAGCTTCAGTAGCTGTGGCATGTGGGCTCAGTAGTTGTGGTTCACGGGCTTAGTGACCCCGTGGCATGTGGGATATTCCTGGACCAGGGCTCGAACCCTTGTCTCCTGCATTGGCAGGTGGATTCTTAACCACTGCGCCCCCAGGGAAGTCCCTACACCTCAATCAAATATTGAGTTATCAATCAAAGTGAAGTTAGGTAAAAGATGAGCATAACTACACCCATGTGAACCAATGTTGACTTCTGCAAAAACCAAAACAAAAAAACTTAAAAAGCAATTCCAAATGAAGGTAGGAGTTACCATTTATTCATTGTCTGTCTTCCTACTGAGTCCACTATTTTTCCTGTATGTCCACATTTCAAGAGCTTAGTAGCCACGTGTGGCTGTGGCTACCATATTGGGCAGAGCAGACAGAGAACAGTTCTATCATCACAGAAAGTTCTACTAGATGGCACTGCTTTAAAGAGGCTAATCAAAGGGTAAGAAATTCTCATCAGACGCTACTTAAAACCAGGTGTTCCATATGCACTAGATTCTGAGTGGATGTCAGGGAGAACAACCATTCTAGAAAGTGATATCAAGTCACAGCCACTGTGGGGTGATGGTAAAGGTGAGGGAGGGAAGACTTTTTCAAACTATATGTATCTCCCTGGAGATTCTTACATGCCTACTAGGGGAGGTTTATAGAATGACCCCTGTGAGAACCACTGCCAGAGTAAGCCTATGTTACCGGTGGGAAGATACGTGTCACTCAAGTGTGCCAGGGCAGAAAAAAAGGAGGGCCACCAAGTACCACAGAAAAGAGATCTCAAGAACGGGAGAGGCATTGGGTGTGTGTAGGAGGAAATGTGTGCATTTGTGTGAGTGTGTCTGTGTGACAGGGCTTTAGGAGTCTCTGTGTACGTGTGTTGTACATATGTGTAATATAATAGGGTGGTTTTTAAAAAGACACCATAAATGGACCCTACTTCTTTTAGGAAATTCCAAGTAAGAACCTAGTGTTTTGTGTGTAAAAGAGGGAAATAAAAGTCAATTGCTTTTAAAAGGTTAAACATCAATCTCCCTCCAAATACCTCCTCTAAGTCCATCCCTATCTCCTGAAGCCACAGTTCCACCATATCACAAAAGCCTTTAGTAACTTCCTAGTGCCTCCCAGTTGAAGGCCCCATATTAAACCTTGACAACCATTCGACAGAGAAGTTAAAACCTTAGAAAAGCACAACCTTCCAAGACTGAAGCAGGAAGAAATAGAAAATATAGACAGACCAATCACAAGCAATGAAATTGAAACTGTGATTAAAAATCTTCCAACAAACAAAAACCCAGGACCAGATGGCTTCACAGGCGAATTCGATCGAACATTTAGAGAAGAGCTAACACCTGTCCTGCTCAAACTCTTCCAAAATATAGCAGAGGGAGGAACACTCCCAAACTCATTCTACGAGGCCACCATCACCCTGATAACAAAACCAGACAGAGATGCCACAAAAAGAGAAAACTACAGGCCAATAACACTGATGAACACAGATGCAAAAATCCTCAACAGAATACTAGCAAACAGAATCCAACAGCACATCAAAAGGACCATACACCATGATCAAGTGGGGTTTATCCCAGGAATGCAAGGATTCTTCAATTTATGCAAATCAATCGATGTGAAACACCATATTAACAAATTGAAGGAGAAAAACCATATGATCATCTCAAGAGATACAGGGAAAGCTTCTGACAAAATTCAACACCCATTTATGATAAAAACTCTCCAGAAGGTAGGCATAGAGGGAACTTACCTCAACATAATAAAGGCCATATATGACAAATCCACAGCCAACACTGTTCTCAACGGTGAAAAACTGAAACCATTTCCTCTAAAATCAGGAAGAAGACAAAGTTCCCCACTCTCACCACTATTATTCAACATAGTTTTGGAAGTCCTAAGCATGGCAATCAGAGAAGAAAAGGAAATAAAATGAATCCAAACCGGAAAAGAAGAAGTAAAACTGCCACTGCTTGCAGGTGACATGATACTATACATGGAGAATCCTAACGATGCTACCAGAAAACCACTAGAGCTAGTCAATGAATTTGGTAAAGTAGCAGGATACAAAATTAATGCACAGAAATCTTTTGCATTCCTATACACTAACAATGAAAAATCTGAGAGAGAAATTAAGGAAACACTCCCATTTACCACTGCAACAAAAAGAATAAAATACCTAGGAATAAACCTACCTAAGGAGACAAAAGGCCTGTGCACAGAAAACTATAAGACACTGAATAAAGAAATTAAAGATGATACAAACAGATGCTAAGATATACCACGTTCTTGGATTTCACAATCAACATTGTGTAAATGACTATACTACCCAAAGCAATCTACAGATTCAACGCAATCCCTGTCAAACTACCAATGGCATTTTTCAGAGAACTAGAACAGAAAATTCCACAGTTTGTATGGAAACACAAAAGCCCCCCGAATAGCCAAAGCAATCTTGAGAAAGAAAAACGGAGCTAGAGGAATTAGGCTTCCTGACTTCAGACTAAACTACAAAGCTACAGTAATGAAGACAGTATGGTACTGGCACAAAAACAGAAATATAGATCAAGGGAACAAGACAGAAAGCCCAGAGATAAACTCATGCACATATGGGCACCTTATCTTTGATAAAGGAGGCAACAATGTACAATGGAGAAAAGAGAGCCTCTTCAATAAGTGGTGCTGGGAAAACTGGACACCTACATGTACAAGAATGAAATTAGAACACTTCCTAACCCCGTGCACAAAAATAAACTCCAAATGGATTAAAGACCTAAATGTAAGGCCAGACACTGTAAAACTCTTAGAGGAAGACATAGGCAGAACATTCTATGACATAAATCACAGCAAGGTCCTTTTTGACCCACCTCCTAGAGCAATGAAAATAAAAACAAAAGTAAATAAATGGGACCTAATTAAACTTAAAAGCTTTTACACAGCAAAGGAAACTATAAAGAAGAAGAAAAGATAATGGGAGAAAATATTTGCAAATGAAGCAACTGACAAAGGATTAATCTCCAAAATATACAAGCAGCTAATGCAGCTCAATATCAAAAAAACAAACGACCCAATCCAAAAATAGGCAGAAGCCCTAAACAGACATTTCTTCAAAGAAGATATACAGATTGCTGACAAACACATGAAAGGATGCTCAACATCACTAATCATCAGAGAAATGCAAATCAAAACTACAATGAGGTATCACCAGTCAGAATGGCCATCATCAAAAAATCTACAAACAATAAATGCTGGAG